GGTGCTCTACTGCACCCTGATTGACTCATCCCCTCCCTGCGACCCCTCTGTGGGGGGATGTTCCATTGTCCACAGATGGGCTTTGGGTCTCCGCTCCAACCACCTCTTTGTCATCAATGCATTTCTGTTTGTTTGTTGTTTGTTATGAATCTTCTGGTGCCCATTACCTGGTCCCGATGACACGCTTAGACGGTCCAGCGAATATATTGCTGCCATCTTGGAGCTCAGTACTTTGGTGGTTAAACGGCACCTTCAGATCTCCCGGCACCTGGACTTCCTGTACTACTTCACGTCTGACGGACGGCGCTTCCGCAGGGCCTGCAAGCTGGTGCACGACTTCACAGACACCGTGATCAAGGAGCGGCGCCAGGCGCTCACTGCCCAGGGTGTTGACAACTTCCTCAAGGCCAAAGCCAATGCCAAAAGTTTTGACTTCATTGATGTGCTCCTGCTGGCCAAGGTGGGTTAGTCTGGTTAGAAGTCCGAGATCACATGCCATGTTGAAGAGCTTGGGTTTGACTCTGAAGGCAGTGGGGAGCTATGGAAGGTGCTTGGGAGTGGGGAGATGTGTATTCGGGATTAATGGAGTGGACTTTCGTCTGGAGAGACAAGGAGACAAGAGAGGCAAAGTCTGAGGGGGCACAGAGGCTTTGGGGATGGTGTGGGCAGGTGGATTCTGGAGCCCTCGGGGCTAGGATGATGCAGGGATGGCGGTGGTCTTGCTTTCTCTGCAGGATGAAAAAGGGAATAAGTTGTCAGATAAGGACATCCGAGCTGAAGCCGACACCTTCATGTTTGAGGGTAAGAGTCTCAGCATGGTAGTGTATTGGGCGGCAGGATTCATCCCTTCCTGGACCACCCCATCCTGCCCCATCATATCCCTCTTTTCCTTGAAGACCTCCTGTCTGCCTTCTGGTGCTGAAGCAGCCAGTGGCCTAAGCCCCGATGCCTCTCCCTCAGGTCATGACTCAACAGCCAGCGGCCTCTCCTGGGTCCTGTACAACCTGGCCAAGCACCCGGAATACCAGGAGCGCTGCCGGAAGGAGGTGCAAGAGCTCCTGAAGGGCCGTGGGACCGAGGAGATTGAATGGTGAGTGCAGGTTCTCATGGCCTGCTGCCTAAGTCCTTGCCTTGGCTTTG